TAGCAAAAACGAAAAGTCCGCATTCTAAGACGTAACAGCAAATTTTTGCACCTTCGTTCTAAGCTGTCAGACCCTTCACTGTTGATGTGAGTAATCTACTCTATAAAATTCCTTTCTTCCTAATTTGGCCTAAGGATCTGAGTAGTAGGACTTTTTGAAATATCAGATGAAAAAGGAAAGAAAACATTGTCTTAGGTTAAAAATATGAGAATACTATCCTATCAGGATAATGATTACACAGGTGTCCAAAGCAAGACAAAGACAGAACACATAGGGAGGGGAAAATCTTAGATGCCACATTTCAGAAATGTGTAAAGATGGTAGGCTCCTTATTGGGATTGTACTGCAGAAGCCCTCTGATCTGAGTCAATCCCAGGTGGGCCAGTTAATTCAAATGTCACTTAGAGTAGTGAATCAGAAAAATTGTCCTCATACCCATTCATGTTCCATTCAGAGGGCGCACCAACTGGAGGCAAAAGAGGGGGACTTAATTTCACCAGATTTCCAGTTTTAAATCCTTGGTCTGTCAAATACCAGCTATGGGACTTAGCCTGTCTATGCCAAAGTATCCCCATTGGTGAAATGGGTCCAATGATAGGTTCTGCCCCACGGGACTGTGATAGAGATTAAATTGGTGAGTACCCTAAAGATTATAGAATAATGTCTGACACATAGTAAGTACTACGATCTATTTGGTAAATGACATTTTTGGTAAGGCCAAGGCTGCTTCTTTGCTTAGGGATCTTTTTGTTGTTGGAATCTTCTAGTATCTTTTCCTTAAATCTGGCATTTTTTTTTTAATGGCTATAAGTCTTTATTTTCCATACAGGGTGCCACTGCAGGTAACCATCAGAGAACACACTGCTATTTTCAAATATACAGAACTGAACAAAAGCATTTTAGCATGCTGCCTTACTGTACATAGAAAACTGGTGAACATCTTCAGACACTAAGACCAGGAAAAAAAATGGGTTAATGCTATTTGTTGATAGTTTATGAATCACTCAGCAGTGTTAATATAGGCTATCTTTACCTGAAAGCAGAATTACAATCACTCATTCTGGCAGCACTGGGCAATTCTAAAATGCAGGTCTAGTGAAAGGCAGGCACAACCAACAAGCAAGCAAGGAACAGATGCCATGTCTGCTTCTGAAAGGAGTGACTGATTTAGAACCAGGCTCTGCAGATTTTAAGAAATGATATAGCCATCTTAACAGCTTAATATTGAGTTTCCCTTACTTCGTATGTTGGCAGTCAACAAAAGAAAGAATTTCTGAAACGAGCTAAATAGGATTAAAAAGCAGAACACTGTCCATATAACAGAATTGCTGCTTTACAACTTTTCCCCATTCTCACTTCTTGTCCTACAAAAAGCTCTCATCTGATAAGTTTTAGTGAAAACCTCTAGATTTTATTTTAGTGAAAACCACTGTATACATTATCTATGATTCCTAATTTTTGTTTTCCTTAACAATGGTACATGAACTTAAAACCACTTGAAGAGCAGTTTGCATGCAGAATTGTTCTACATTTAAGACAATTTCTGATCACCCACAACTTTTTTTTTATAGTTAGACACTTATCTTTATTTGTTTATTTTCTGAGATGGAATTTTGCTCTTGTTGCCCAGGCTGGAGTGGAATGGCATGATCTCAGCTCACTGCAACCTCTGCCTCCCAGGTTCAAGCAATTCTCTTGCCCCAGCCTCCTGAGTAGCTGGGATTATAGGCATGCACCACCACACCCGGCTTATTTTTAGTAGAGACAGGATTTCTCCATGTTGGTCAGGCTGGTCTCGAACTCCACCTTGGGTGATCCACCAGCCTTGGCCTCCCAAAGTGCTGGGATTACAGGAATGAACCAGCCAGACACCTATATTTAATTTGATCACAAAAACTACTGTAGCAGACCTACTGAGTTACAAAAATAACTCATTCTTGGCAGGAGTTCAGCTTAACTGGTAAGAGAAATATGTGCATCTGGTAGAGAGCTTCACTAGCTGCCAACAGTCATTAGGTTGAGGATATTGTTCCCTGTGATTTACAAGAGGAAATGGTGAGCATCAGTGAATCGGTACAAGTAGGTTCAAATGAGTTTAGTTAGGGATTCCAGTCCCTGTAGGAACCGTTGCTTTTGGATTTTGTTTGCTATCCTGCCATCTCAATTCCTTAGAATTTCGTTACAATGTTGATTTTATTATTGGGGGGGGGTCTTCTTAATCTGATTTATTGCCACCCATAGTCCCAGAGAAATCATTCTATAAACTGAAATCAGTAGTTTGTTGTCAATCTTAAGATTTTAATTTTCAGCTTATGCCTTTCTTATTTCCATCACGGACTTAGCTCCCTTTGTAGGTTTACTAGAATCTGTCAACTAATCCCCAGTGCGCTCCCTTTCTGTTTCTCCCACAGAAGAATTGACTAAATGATATCCATATAACCTCTTATTCTGTATTTTTAAGGAACAAAGAATTGGCTGTTTCTTATGAGTTATTTTCCTTTCTACTACTTATAATCTGTCCACTCAAATCACAGCATGTTCATAACTCTTCTTTCTGTATTTCTGTTCAGGTAGTAGCTTTGGAATGAGAGAATCATTAGGCTGTATTCAGCAGATGATAACTAATGGAGCCTTCTAAGAAGTGCAAAAAGCTACTTAGAAATCTGCTATAATGAATCCATAGGCCATGGGCAGTCCCTACAGGGCCTACAATATTTGAGAGCAGGGGCACACTGGTAGATTTGCTGCCTGCATCCACCATTTTCTCAGACATACTGGCCTGGAACACATGACTGCATAGGACCTCAACATTCATGTAAGCCAGGTAAACTTCCAAAGGAGAAGTGAGAGCATAGACCTCTTATAGGTTTATGTGAAATAACTTTCCAGAACAATGAATTCTTATTTGTTCATTATTTCACTCAACACGTGAGTAAGCATCCATAGGTGTAAAGCAAGTTTAGAATGTTTGTATTTTAGCACCACTGTATATATTTTGTTTCTCACTTAAACTCTAAAGTACTGTCAGAAAATGAAAAGTTATGAGTGAAATAATTAACACACCATCTGAAAAGCCAGTGATGTCCTCTGTCTGTGATTATGAGCTCCAAGATGTTAAGGGGGCAGGTATCACACTTTATATCATTATTTTTCACAAAGCTATTAACAGCTCATCTTTTAAAATATTTTTAAAATTAGAATGGCTTCTGGAAGGGAGTACTATTTAGGGAAAAATATGAAGTATGTTGGCTGAAAACACCTAATGAATAAACACTGATTTCTATTCTTAGCATACACATCATCCCCTGATCTTTGGGTATGAATTTAAGAAATTTGTGACAGCCAATGAAAAGCTTATATATCCATAGCACAGGTGTTCACCATGCAAATAAGTGATCATAATTCATAAACATGGTCTGTAGAGACTTAAACCCTACTTCAAAAAAGCCTCAAGTTACAACAGGCAAAACAGAAAAAAAATCATGAACATGCAACAGCTTTTAAAGGTAATTCTAATATTGAATCTTGATTATGAGATTGCAAAACAAACACAACTTTTCATAAATGCAAGATCGCCTATGACAAATATTTATGGAGGTCAGGAACAGAAAACATAATAGAGATAGATGACTTCCCTCCCACCCCACATAATTTTTGAGTCATAAATTATGAATTATGTTCAAACATAAATGGCAGAGAGGAAATTAATTTAGGAGATGAGATCTATTTTATAATTCAGAGAGCTGTTTTATTTTAATTTGGGGGGCAAATTACATTTTGATGTTCAGCTTACCAAACATCTTCCTTTCTCTGAAGTGAATGACAATTTCCTATTATTTCTCTGAGGAGTCCTAAGATTTTTATGCCAAAATTCAGAGGGTAAATTAGCAACACAGTCTGGATCATTTGGAAAAATACTGTCCCATAGAGCTTTCCACAATGATGAAAATGTTCTCCATGTGTGCTGTCCAACTAAGGTAGTCCCTGGCCACATGTGGCTTTTGATGACTTGAAATGTGGCTAGTTGGACATAGGAACTTAATTTTAATTTAAATTTTTAAAATTAAAATGTAAATAGCCCTACATGGCTAGTGGTTACAGTGCTGGACAGTATAGTACAAGATGACCAAAGGCTGGAGAAGGACCTTCCTCTTAGCCAATCAGACCACACAGTGGGCTGCCCTTTGTACACTGCACACTGCCCCTGCGAAACCTCAACACAGCCTTTGACAGATTAGCCTCAGAAGGGCTTGGGGCAAAGCTCATGGGAGCTTGTTCAAGCAAACATACACATTAAGAGGATCACAAAGATCGGAAACAGCAAAGGTCAGCCCTGCAGACCCCTCTACCCATTCATGTGTTTCCCTGCAGTGGGACATATTCTCTAGTGTTTTGTCAGGAACGACTCAAATCGATTCAAATGGCTTGCCTTTCCACAGCTTTCCATGTTATAAAGACAAGTAAAAAAAAAAATAGTTCAGTGAGAGCACTTAGAAAAAGACAACCTATAAAAATACTGAGATAGAAACAGGAGGCGTTCTGTTATAACAAGGAACTCTGCCTAGAGAGATATTTGAAAGAAAAACAAACCCCACATGTGTTTTTGATTATAAAGAGTTTGAAATAAAGATATATGCTTTGGCATTAAATAAAATCCTTCCTTGCTTATCACAGTATGCAAGATTACTAATGCTGGTCCCCAAAGCAATCTATTATTTCCTAATTCTTTTCCATGGTTCCATTTAGTTTACCACAGAACATCTTCTGATTGTCCCTTTTACCTATTTATTCTTTGTTAGTGCATTTCCTTATCTGCATGTAGCTTTAAAGTCAAGAACTTAAGACACATTCAAATTTAATGACATCTCTTGAGAGAGGAAAGAATTGGGATTCTGATGCAATACGCCTTGCCCATGAAGATGTTGCCAAGTTCCAAACTTAAGTAACTTCCTGTAAATAGCATTTCAGTAGCAAAGATTGTTTTCCAGATAAACACATACCTGGAGGAGCAGATCAGAAGTGGGTCTGACTCGCTGTTGGAATAGGATGCTTAGTGTTCGATTCTGCTGTTCCAAATCAAACACTCTTGTTTTCAACTTCACACATTCCTCCCTTAGATCCTACAACAAACACATTGAAGGAGGAAAAGTCTATAACTAAAGGATGTCTTTGCATATTATAACCATATTTTATATATCTCACATGCATTAGTAAAAAACAGTATTTTCATTCTTCAAAGCCTCCAGAAATAAATCACATATAACGTTTTCTTCCACAGACCATTGTCTGATAGAATTATTATGTACAAGGAAGACCAATTTTTTTTAAAAAAAAAGCACCTTGAAATCAGAAATGCATTAATCTAGCATGCTATTTTTGAAGACAGTAAATCTTAGTGATATAAAGTCAATTTAAGTTTTCACCTATATATTTTGCCTTTTTCACTGTCTTTATAAAAGCAATCACAGAGCACAAACCACAAGGACAACAGCAACGTTTCTGCAGTGAATAGAGATTTGATGAGCTAAAGAAACTATCATTTCTGATGGAGTTTTTCATTGTCATTTGTGAAAACAAGTTGAAATTCTCGGTGCTGGGGCTAATAGAGTCAGTGGCACATTTAGTGGGAGAGAAGTAACTCAGAAGAGATGGCTTTTAAGAGGCCACTTGCAGCTTGCCCATCCTCTGAACTCGTGGATTTCCATATCCTCTGGGGCTTTCTGATCTCGGTGCTGTGGAAGAAGCACACTAAGCTCATTCTGGCATCTGTTTGGAACAGCTTTTTTGAATAGTTCAAACACCACAGAGACCTTTTCCCCAGCTCACGGAGGAAGCCGAGGTATAAGAACTGCTTTCCAAACTGACTGCTATAAAAGTACTTATGGTACTTAAATATCTATGCCCTTTTTGATGGGATTCAAGACAGACCTGGTAGAATAAAGCCCACATTCAAGGTTCTTCAAAAGCTGACCCTTTTCTACATTTCAAACTGTCTTTCACTACTTCCTGATGTTAAAAAAAAACAGTTTAATGAATCTGAAAAATACTTTGTCACTGGCCAGGTACTCCCTTTAGAAGTAGATAAGAGGCCAGGCAGGGTGGTTAAAAAAAAAAAAAAAAAAAAAAGTCTTCTGTTCTCACCAAGCAGAGAACAAAGGTCTGGCGTGTTGTTCTCTCAAGCTCTTTGCATTCCTTCTACCTTCTTCTCTTTTCCTTCCACTACTTTTCCTTTTTATCCACTTTTTTCTTTCAGCCCACATTTGGCTCTTTGATTGAAGTCCAGTTCAAACTTTATCACCTCTCTGACATTTTACCTGGTATCTCTCAAAACCTGCTCCATTTTCTGAACTCCCATCAGCCCTTAATGCCTCCTCTGTGATGTTTAGCATATATTACTCTGTATTCATTTTCTCGTTTGTGCTCTAGACTTGTCAATTATAGGACATGTTTTTTTTAACAAGGCAAGCACAAGATGATACTGAAATAACCACACAAGCATATTGCTCTTACATTGTTTTTATTCCATCACCTAGCACAATGCCCTGTATAGTAGGAACTTAATAAGTGCTTATAATTATTTTGCTAAATGGGATGATGATGGCAAATTTTGTTCTCTAGTGATTGGTGTGATAAAGAGCGTTTAAGTTTCTCAACACTTCTATTTCAAAGATTTATGTATTCTGACATGGGGCAGCTATTGGGCTGATGGCTCTGTTAGCAAGGGAGAGCCCAGGCCACAGCTCTGTGCCTAAATAGGAGTCACAGAGGTGCCTGGGCCTGTTCAGAACCTTGTATCAACCTAATGGCGAAGCTAGGTCTCCCTAGTAAAGCCTTCTCTGAGGCTTGATAGGCATGCATCATCTTATCCAGTAGTATTAATTCTATTTAAAGCGGGCAAAGAAACAGGCCAATGTATGGTCCACTGCAGTTTCAACTCTCCTTCCATTTTTTAGTTGAATGGGTAAAGCTTATGTATAGGGTGTTTTCAACTGATCAGTGCCTACAAACGGAGAGCAGAGAAAAGAAACGTCATGTTCAGAATGACGTGCAAGAGTGCAAGATCCAGCAGGGCACGATCAGGAGTGTGCATTTCATCCTCGTGAGCACACACGCCATTTGACAGAGGCCATTGTGGCGACCCACTCACTGCTCAAATTAAAAGGTGAAACTTCAGCCTGGACAACATGGCAAAACCCCATCTTCACTAAAAATACAAAAATTAGTCAGGTGTGGTGGTGCACGCCTGTAGTCCCAGCTACTTGGGAAGCTGATGCATGAGAATCACTTGAACCCGGGTGGCAGGGATTGTAATGACCCAGATGGCACCACTGTACTCCAGCCTGTATGACAGAATCTCAAAAAAACCCTGTCTCAAAAAAAAAAAAAAAACGAAACTTGCTTCTTTCTTTAGAATTCAACCTCTGTCTGTGTCTCACATTGATTTTTGTTCTTAGCATGTATATAACACTTTCTGCTCCCAAACACTAATTGTTTTTAGTATTGCTAATTAAGTAATTAATGAAACTTGACTGCAAGGCAGATAAATATTAATAGTACCTATTGGGTGGGAAAACATAATCATCCTCATTTGCAATATAGGGATATGAAAACAGAAGCATACAGTGTGGATGTGCAAAAAAAAAAAAAAAAAAAAAAAAGTGGGGGGGGGAAAAAAAAAAAAAAAAAAAAAGGTGGGGATGGAAAAAAAAAAAAAAAAAAAAAAAAATTGGGGGGTGGATCTGAAAGCAACAGCAACCACAATTTTTAGCAGCACCTTAAAAGAGTTCTTCAGATGGGGGAAAATAAAATAAAAAGAAAGAATGAATGAAAAAAATCAATATGCTTCACAGAGAGTCTTTATACAAGTACTGAAATTTAAAAGGCCGTTACTATTACTTAAGGAATGGCAAAAGTTCATTAGTGGGAACAAAATTTATTGACCCTGAGAACTCTCTGTTCATCACTATTAGCCCCTCCAGCTCAGCACACAGCAGCAGGGGAGACAGAGGCTTTAGGGATGTGACACTGATCTGAGGGCCATCGACAAACAGAAATGAGCTGGTCTGAAAATCTGTAAATAGGAAAGAATCACTTGCATTGTCTTCAATATTCTTATTTTCTTCAGACAAGCTGTGGATTACCAGTAACTTATGCCAGACAGTCACCTTCCCAAGAAACTGTAAACAAAAACATTCGTGTGTCTACGTACACATGCATAAACACAACCAGAATGGATATATAGACAGAAACAACTGTTTCTCTGACCACTGCGGTGGTACCTGGGCGAAGGGGGCAGTTGGCTCCCTTAGCTTCCTCTGTGCCCACAACAGGAACACACTGACATAAAAGAAGTCAATACTGCATGATACATTTAGGCTGGATGCAAGAGCAGCTACTCTGACCCTGCCAGTTCAGAGGCAAGACCTAGAACAGCCTCCCCAAGGAAGGCTTTACAAACAAAACAACTCTCCTCTGGGTAGGTGCTATAGTCTGGGATAATGACTCAAGGCAGAGGCTGTAGCATGTGTCCTCTCTCCTCCCTCACAACCCTTCTTTTTTTTTTTTTTTTTTTTTTTTTTTTTT